AAAACCCCAATACCAAACACCATGATGTAGTAATGTACGTACACAGTACAGTTGAACATATTAACTTTATACTGTAACTTATACAAGAAAACTATACTAATAAAAAGTTTGCAACTGTTGAAAGCCTCTCAACTAACGTTTAAAGTTAATATGATTGGTTAAAACACAAGCTTATTGGCTTACATTTAAGCGAGCAAATTTATTAGCACCTTGCCCACTTCCATCACTGCATACCACAGTCCATAAACAGGTTTTAAAACTCTATGAGGTGTTTACACCAGTCAATTTAATAAGAAGTCAGAGTTCCATGATACTGTAAATGTACCATGCACTGGGCATGTATGTGTACTACGGTATAAACTTTGAGTAAATTGTCAGGCTAGCAGTTATAGAGAAGTGTTCCTTGTTCATATTTTTGCAAACTATTTGTAATAAACTAATTGTGTTCTTTGCCACAGGAACCAATTCTTGATAACTAAATTATATTTTGATATTTACTGTTGTATTTTTTATGTAGATGCATAATTTGTGAATTATAATATTTGACATTATCTGGATATTGCTGTTCAGTTTTGTCCAATGTCGCCTAATGTCGCCCAATGTCGCCCAGCGTCGCACACTACTTTTCTTTGAAAATTGCCAATGTCGCCTAATGTCGCACAATGTTGCACATAATAACGGCGACCTTGGCCCCCAAAGTAGGCCTAATAACCTTACAAACGGCTAAGTTCGGCCATAGCGATACTCACAAATCCTAAAAACCTTCAATAAAATAATGCAACTGCTACGCAGCAGTAGCGTAGCCAGCCCGACGATTTAGTCCCGCTATGCAAATATTTTTGTGTTCATTGACCGTGAAAACGAGCAATTTCTAAAGAAATGAATGATGTCAATAATTTTGACTTTTGTAAACGACCCAGAAGTGCAGAAAATGGCACTTCTATGACCCCAGATTTTTAAATATTTTCCCCGGTTGACACATAGCCGGTCTTACCAACCAAAATACGTAACCCAAGATTTAGTTTTTGGTCCAAGTTACGGCAAAAATGAAAGTTTGATTAGTTAAAGTTCTAAGAGGCTGTTCATATGGAAACGGGCTGGCCCAGTTAACCGGGATTATTCCTTTAATAAAATTTTAATAAAGTTCTTTTCCCGGCTTTGATAAACATCCTTTATTTCACGATTTTCCATTGCCACTGATTACAGAAGATAAATAATTAATTTAATAATAAAACTGAAGTATTACTCAAATAGAAGATAATATAATAAGAGAATAAATTTAACAAGAGAATATTTTTCTAACATAAGACACATCTATAATTATTTATCTAAATTATTTATTAATAACAATTTTACTGATATAGCTAATAAACTAACTTTTAAGTTTCGTGTTAGCATGATTGATAACTTGAGTATTTTTACTTTCGCAATAGTTTATTAATGCCACCTTTTCTATCTTTGTTTTGTATTCCGGTTTATCCGCTCTTGTAAGCAGCAGTGACACAGCTACTTCAGAGGTCGGACTGTCTTTCTGGATTATTTCGCATATGTCATTAATTCCTTTGACTAATTCTTTTGCTCCTTTGCTGCCAATATCGTTTGTTCCCACATGTAATATTATTTTTTCCGTTTTTTTTCGCAGGCACGGTTTAATATGGTGCTTCATAGCGCCAGCTCCCGGCCGATAAGTTTCTGCCCTTATTGCGGTCCTTCGAGAGATCTGACCATTTTTCTTAATTCCCCGAAGCAACATTTTCTATCATTATATTTTATCGTTGAATCTCCGATTATAACTGTGCTTGCTTGGGTATTGCCTTCATTAGTAGAAACTTCTCGGCTAGTCTTAGGTCTCATCGTCTTGGACGTTTGAGTTGTTCGACTTTGTTGTTCTGCGATATTTTCTTTACTGGTACGTCTTGAGTAACTAATTGGCGCGTTGTCAGCGACAATCGTATTTTCAGTATACTGGTCTTCTCCATAAATTGAATTGCTCATCCCGCTGTTGTTATCGTTATTAGGTAACTCATTACCCCGTACTTCGTAGCGATTGCGTGTGAAAACATTGTAGGATTGTTCCGGTGTGGTATAGTCTAAGTTAATAGTGGTAGAGTCTAAGTTAATGCTAATATCATCGATCTTGTTAGGTACAGGGTTGAATTCAGTCATCTTTTCCTTGCAATTAGTTTCTTTAGTTGCAGTATTGATTTCAACAGACTGTTCTAACGGTTTTTCTGCTGTTTTCACTTGCAATAACTACTTATTAATTGCATCCACGTTGCCATTTTGTGTTTGTGGAGCTTCCGATTCTGCCGTCATCTTCGCTTCGTTACCCTGCCCTATGGAACCGTTTAACTCTGCAGAGTAATCCAACAACGATTTCTTAAGTCGCTCAACTAACGCTCCCTACAGTCCAGATTTATCTAGCCCTCTTTTTCCCAGCTCTGTACTGAGATCGACAACACGAATTGGCTTAATTGTTTACCACCGAAAGAGGCCATTATCAGGTATCTAGACGATAGACGATCAGCCTTGAATGATAGACGATTCAGCCTTATTGTTGCTTTAGATTGCTTCGATTTCGAACTTGAGATTTAGCGGAACACAAAATACACGTCTGCTCTCGTACACGTCTGCTCTCTGACTATAGAGCAGTTGAGTCTTGGGATTGGTCGTGACCTTCACCTAAGGTACCACAAGGTCCGTTCAAAGAACCGATGGGCGTACCGGGCGGGGCGGCACCCCCCCCCCCCCAGTTTGTTGGGCAAACAAAGACAGTCGGGCAATATTCGCTTCACAGTCGGGCAATATTGGCTTATTATAAAAGTAAATGGGCAAATTCTGTCAATTTTGTGGAAAATTCTGTCAATTTTGTTGGAAATATGCTATCTAATAGGAATTTTTCGTAATCACTCCTCCCCTTTCGTCGACAACAATTTTGAAAAGTTTCTCCGGAAAATTTTTTTGACAACGCGTGCACAATCCGAAAAAGTCGGGCAAATTTCTTTCCGCCCCCCCCTATTTTTTTCCTTCCCGTACGCCCATGAAAGAACATGAAATCCAGGAGATGTGCGGCAGTAACCATGTGTTTATAAAATTATCCGCTTTCCGTCGTCCGCGTTTTATCTATGCACCCTTACCAAATTGGTCAGTTATATCGATAGTACTGATCGCAGTACGTCATTCAGAAACTACAAAAGGCGAAGTTCCGCTTTGACGACGTACGTTCTCGATTTCCTTCAACCGTCGTTAATTATGAGCGAATGGTTCAAGTATTAAGAAGCTCAAGATAGAGTAGAAGAAAGGTGTGGTCCGTGTCCGTGTGGAATTGTACAAAGTAGATCAGAATAAATAAAAGAATGCTTCATTTATTATTGTGAGGAGTAGCGTGCTAAAAGAGTAGCGTCAAAGAGAGATTGACAGCATGTACGGATTGCATTCAGTGGTTTATACTTCCTACGCCCTCGCAATTAATTAACTAGGCTAAAATTCTGGATCGATCATATGTTGCAGCGTAAGGATACCACAATACAGACCACGCATGTATCGCCAGCACAATCAAACTCCTGATTTGGAGCATAAAAAGAGGTGGACAGAATGAGACTTTAATTAAGCAAACTAAAGTACAATTATTTCATTAGTATTCTTTACGTGCATAATACTAATAAGCTTTATTTATCCTTTAATCCCATATTTCCCCCGGGCACCTAATTTTCTAGCCCATTTCACGTATTTTGTTACTTAACATGCTTCTTGGTGAGCATCGCGAGACGAGTTACGTAAGATAATAGTGCACAGTTTAGCAGCGCGCTGGTGTAATATATGATATACTCAGCCAAACTATTGTAATATTAGATGTTCATTGCATGGTAGAGTGCATTTAACGAATTTCTAAATGCTAATTGCATTAATCTCGCAAGTTAATAGTCACGCATGCAATAAAGATCTTTGTTATCTTGCAAGATATGCAAAATAGATTACTACGCTAACTGATATAGTTATAATGTTGTGATGTGCAACGCGACAGTATCCTTATAACTTACTACAGCTCATTTCCTTTCGGAATATACAGGATTTTTTTCTTCAGTAGTCAATAGTCAATAAGGTAAGGAGTATTGTAAGAGCATGGGATATTATTTGTTTTTCCAATATACATCGTATTCAAATCGAATCATCTTAAATGGTAAACTCGGCCGTTTAGTATCGAAAGAAACGGTAGTAACAGCTATAGATCGCGGTTGAAATATAGAGCTTACACATTCAGGAATACTAATCCTCTCAAGATTAGTTTTGGTTAATGAATGGGCAGCCAGACTTCATACTAAATACCCCACAAAAAGAAAGCTGCCCCCAAATATATCATCATAAGTTCTAAATAAATGTATACCTGATAATCTCAAACTCATTAATAATTCATATTGCCGAACCATATTGCTTTATTTTGCTCACATGATAATACTGCATACCTGATGAAGTACATTGATCCAGTCCTAGGACTGGATCAAAATTAATTCTGTCCTTGGACTGGATCAAAATTAATTACAGCAAGTAGTAATTTATTGGTAATTAATTAGAGATGTCATTTCAAATCCTCCAGTTCTGACTGGCCTAGATTTCAAGTCCCCCCCGCTTCGCCTCGGACTTGATCAAATTGCGCGGACTTGAAATCTAGTCCAGTCCTCATAGTTGGATTTGAAATATTACATCAAACCTAGCACTAGTTAGACTTATGGTAGTTTGCTTAATGCTGTGTGAAGAATGGGGTCATTCATGTTTTGACGAATTCCTTAGCCTCCATTGAATACAAAAATGGCCACACATCTCTCTCTTTCTGAGGAGATGATGCCTTGAAGTTATCGAGAAGTGTGGTGGTTACACCCATTATTAAATCATTGATGAAAAAATTTACTGTTGTACGTTGTGAAATTTAAATAAAGTCATTCTTGTTAATTTTGAAATTGGGAATTTTTGTATTCAATGGAGGTTAAGTTGTTCTTTAAAGCACGAATGGCCCCATAGAAGTAAGCAACCTACCGTAGGTCTAATTAGTGCTGAGGTGTGATTATATATCAGGTAATAATTTATTTATAATTTCTTTTTGTGCGGCGTTTATTATAATCGAGATTTACTTACTGTTAGCGATTTTTACCGTGCGATCATTAAGATGCATCTGTGCCAGTGTCCCAGGAATTTCGCCACCCACCCTGGGTGCGAAATTATTGGAAATTCGCCCCCTTTAGAAACTTCATTTTCCTTTAGGATTTTCGTCCTCCGTTAAAAATTTCGCACTTCCTAACAGTTGGATGGCATAATTATTACATGGCTTTAGTCATTTGAAATCAGTATCAATTCCGAATTGTTCAGAATACAAACTTACAATTACATGTATCGAAAGGGCTTATGTATAGGTAATATAGCATGGTTTCGAGTGCAATTTGGATATAACATGCAAGAGTGAGTTTTTCAAAGACCTTGAGGTCTTTGAAAAACTCACGATCGAGTACATGTTTTTCCAAATTTCACGAGAAAACATGCTATTACTTATTATAATTCACATAAAAATTAATGTTCCGGACAATTGTAGTTTTATTAACTTACGAGTTTATAGCGAACATTCCACTGGCAAAGTTTTCCTGTCTTTGTTATGTCACATTATACAACGCTAACAGCTTGACAATTCCACCCAACTATGTAATTAATTTTTATTAGTCTTGTTTATGGTAAATGCTTTTCCATTTAAAAATAAAGATAAAAGCCAAATTTTCCATGCGAAGGCAACTTTTACTTTGTGTAGCGCGGCGCCATGTTTGTTTTGTTTTGAAGCAATCTGTGACCGTTTACTTCTTTAAACTAAACTGCTCTAAACTGATTGGTTATCACAATGTTTTTCCACCAATCAGATCAGTTTGTTACAGATTTTTGCACTCTTGTTACAGATTTTTGCACTCTTGTTACAGATTTTTGCACTGCTGTTTGGGATTGAATGCACTGAAACCAACCAATCACAGTCGAGTCATACTTCTATGTATATTATTAAGTACATTAAAAGGATTTATGACGCTTCAGAGCACACCATGCATATTTTGCATTTTCAGTGGTAATCCTTAAACTCATTGACATTGTCACCGGGCCAACGGCGCGAAGGGCCGTTCAGGACGTTAGCCCGGGGCGAGGGTACTAATTCCGCCCGGCTTTTTACACCCGCGGAAAGGGAATAAGCCTAAAGTTCGTCAATGATCGCGGGCGTTGGTGACCAACCGTGGGTGGTCATCCTCACTGATCTCCAAAATATGGCTGTTTGCCAGGAGTGGGATAAGCAAGATTTCAATTTTCAAAAGCATATATTTGGAAAATCACGTTTCACACAATGAGCTTTGAAGCAATTTTTGTTTGAAGAAATAAGAGAATTGATTCACGGTGGGAAATCGTGAAATATAGTGCAAGTTTGCTTTGAATGTTTAATGTTTATGAATTTTGTTGCTTTCATTTATTGCGTAAAACATGCACTGCTTTCCTTTTCAATGAAGCTGTATTAAAATTTTCTAAATTACCCTGTTTAATTTAATAGGAAAAAAATGTAAAATGTAAAGGAGAGCAAATTAATTTGAAAACCGAACTGAAATTACTCAACAATTTGAACTTATTTTGTTTTATTAAGTAAAAACAGTTTATCGGAAAAAGCAGTTTATAGTTATTAAAATGAACATTTCAAAACATTTTACGAAGCAATTCAGGTTAAATTTTACATTAAATCAAAGATCACAAAATGCAGAACAACATACCTACACATATTTCGGAAATTCATTCAGGTTATATAGGTAGAAGCAATAATCTTTCAACTATATTTTTGGCGTGTTGCACAAAAAATATAAATTATATAATAAAAATTAAAATTATCGCTTGTTGCCATGGCAACACTAACGCAAGCGCGAGCCTGCGTTCAGTGTTGAACAATTACTATTACTTCATGTTAAATCAATGGTTGGAAAATACAGGCGAGGAGTTGCTGCATGCATGTATTTCTAGTTAAAAAGTAAATTCCGTGGTGGTTATTGTAACTATTGGTATTGTCACAACATATTTTTTAACTGACACATGCATGCATAAACTATAGGTTTTTTTTTATAATCAAACCGTTCAATTTAATTATAAAGAGCACTAAAAATCTATTTGTCTCTGATCTGATATATTAAAAATAATTGGATAGGTTAGGTAACCCTTATATATAGATTGTGTTTATGGTATTCAGTAGCTATAGTATAGATATACTGTACCACCACATCAGCTAAGGCAAAGCTATAAATTTACTATCGTATTTATAGAAGAAATCGTTTAGTTTCATTGTTATTATTAACAGTAGTCAGTAACACAATTGCCAAAGGCAAAGCGTGTTGTTATTTTCCTATGTTCTCAAAATTTATTTAGGAGAGGGCGAATTTCCTAAACGGTGGGGGGGGGGGGCAATATTCCTAGGGTGTTCGCCTCCCGGGTAATAAACAGGCATAAGGTAAATGAGCAATGTGATCACCTTTCATCTTTGGTCTTCTTTTATGGAAAGCCATAGCTTGCGTAAGTGGTCAAACGGCATTTTGTTGGGTGCTTTTAGCATTATATATATACGGCGGTGCTTTCGGCGTTTTACGCGGTGCTTTCCACATAATTTGCATATTCTTTCTATGTATTCCTAGGGAAATGTGGGTGGCGAATCCCCTGGGTGGTCGAAATTCCTGTTACACCGGAATGCCTTTTGAATGCAGGTCTAGCGTGTGAAGAAGAAGAATATATTGAAGAATTCGCAATTCAGTTAACAAACAAGCCTATTCAGATTTAATATCGTTAACAAAGCACTTTAAATTTCAGGCTTACTACATAGACACTTCATTTTTATTGAGACAAATAATCCTGACTTTATACCAGAATCGCTCATGTGCCATCATCATGGAATTAACCGTCGTGGAATCAGGGCTTTGCGCTTGTGGAGCGTAGAATCTGGTTGAACATGCTTTAACTTAATGTAAACGAACATGTGCATGTTATCATTTAGCGTCCCATAAGGGAAACAGCAAATATTTTGTGTAATTCGCTGAGTGCAGTCGTGTGAGAACTTTGACTTGTTTCTTTTCTTTTCTTTGTATTCATAGATAGTTCATTAACATTCAACCAATCTGCAATTTTGTTCATTTCAATTTCAATAATTTCATTTAACGTTCTAAGACATGTCACTAGAATGTTTTTCAAAATCCTTACTATGGATATAGTATGAAACTTAGTTGAAAATAGTATGGAAATCCAATTTTCATAGTAGGAATTTCACTATTTTTTCCCCATTGTGTACGCCTATAGAGTTATTAGTTTGCGTCATCCGCAAAGTGAACAAATGAAATTAGTGTACAGTAGCCTAGTATTGAATATCATTTAGATATAAAATAATTAAAATTCGGTAAAATTCCTCAAATTCATGGGCAAATTCACTCGTTATTTAGTTAAGTAAATCTTAACACAAAATCGAGTAAATTTCCTCAAACATTTGAATAATGATGGTTTTGAGTTGTGGGTGCATTATTTATTTCACTCAATATTTTGAATCAGATTACTGATGGATTAATTGTTTGCAGTAAATACCTGTATATAAACAGTAAATTTAACTGCTCTATAAGCATTAGAAAAAACAACAGTGGGAATGTGTTTTTTACCATTCCCTTTAGATAATGAAAAGTGGTATGAATGTGTTCTGGAGTGTTGCCATCATTTTGGCTTGTTTTGGTGACGAAACACAAGGTACATATCCTAGATATACATATCCTAGAACACCATTACAACTTACAAGGTGCAGCGTGAATACTGTTGAGATACCAATAGCAATACACATCTTTACTGTCGATGCAATAGAATTGTTGATAAAATATTGCATCAATTCATTTCCTCAAGTTGATCAATTCATACGAATTCAAATTTCTTTTTACTGCCTGTGCGTTTCCTATTGGTCAGTTGGTTCTGAAACGAAATCTAATTGGCTCATCTAGAAGTAACAGGAAGTTGATCAATTTTCTATCAAATGAATTGATCAACTTGAGGAAATGAATTGATGCAATATTTTATCAAAACTTCTATTGCATCGGTTTGTGTAGTAATTGTTATGTACATAAGTCGGGATACAAAAGGTATATGTATGTATGGAGATATAAAAGAAGAGCTTAAAATAAGCTAGCCTACAATCTTGCCAAAACATTAATGAAACACCTATAAAAAATTTATAAAATAGACAAAATCCCCTCGACCCTCCCCCCCTGAGCAATGTTGGCCCAATAGAGTCAACAGTTCATCGATGGCAGAGATAGGTTTCCACAGCTACGTATAGGTTCTTACTCATCTTAATCAACATTGTAAGGGGGAAAGGGAGACGAATAGATTAAATTGTTAATCATACGGGGTTTTCATTAGTTTTTGCCAGGATTGTATAGCTCCAAATGATTTTTGGAGTTAGCAACTCAAGGCTTAGATTCCCAGCTTCTACTGAAATGATTTTTTGAGTTATATATACCTAGATCCAAATGGGTTTTGGAGTTAGGCAGTAACTACTAGCCTGCGAACAGGCTCTCAAGCTAAATTGAGAGCCTGCATCGATGACTAATGAACTTGAATATCTACGTCTCAAATCGTGACGCGAAATTCTCATTGGTCAGATGCTATAATTGATATGTTTCCGCTGAGCTATATATATATGAACTGCTGAAGCGCTATGCACAAAATTAAAAAACACATTAACTGATCAAATTGGTCTTGGCCGTCTTATCTCAAAGCACGAAATGTTCTGTTTTGAGAAAACAGTATTTAAAACATTTGAACTTTTGCTTGAATACCTTATATTTCGAAAAACAGTTTAAACTGTACTGTCTAAATTTAGTTTGCACGGTCTAAATTTAGTTTGCACGAAAGTTGTAAACAACACCATATTAGGATAGACATTCCGTATTTGGAAAAACGAACGTTACGGGGCAGATATTTAAATTCATTAGTCATCGATGCAGCTCTCAATTTAGCTTGAGAGCCTGTTCGCAGGCTAAGTAACTCCAGGCTTAAATACATAGCTCGTAAATGATTTTTGGAGCTATACCTAGCTCCAAATTATCTTTGGAGTTATCCAGTAACTCCAGGCTTAGATACCTAGCTCCTAAATTATTTTTGGAGTTATAACTACAATCAGGAGCAAAAACTATTGAGACAACCTCATAAATGCCCCCCTCACCCCCAATTCAATGTTGTGTTAATGACTGAAAAGAGAAAATTCAACCCACTTTTTCCAACATTGATTATGGGGGTAGTGGGGATGCCGACGTACTTTAAAATGGCCAAAAATGTGAAAAGTCTCATGATTTTTGCACGCGATTGTCGAAGATGGAGCTGTCTGGTGGTTAACTGTCCAAAATTTGACATTTTGCCAAACTCTAGCGATCAAGTTGACTTGAAATTGACATATTTCCATCAACTAACCAAACGTTTTTTGTCACCAAAATGTAAAGTTATATAAATATGTATATATATATATATATATATATATATATATATATAGTTTTTCGTTTTACCTCAAAGAACCACAACAGTCTGTTTCATCCGTATAGGAATCATCAGGTGGTCCTATATTACGCTCTATCTATATGGTATTGAGCACTGTTTGTGTTTCGTAAACCAAAATCTTAAGCTATATATATATATATATATATATATATATATATATATATATATATATATATATATATATATATATATATATATATATATAAATCTATCACTGAGCCAACTTTCTCTAGAGCCCAACATTTATATAAATCAATCAATGATACATCAGAGCTCGTATAACAACTTTTTATTACGTTTCGGGGCAAGCCCCTTCTTCAGATTACATGTGTACACTTGATTTCAACAATTAAAACTGTCCATACCCTAATTATAATAATTCGCTTGATTAACTCTATTGTTCAAACAAAGTCTTTTAAATTCAACCATGCGATTCAAACGAATTCAGTTTATATGCCCAAAAACCTTCTCTTTGTGTGGGACATGCAACATTAGTTTTATCAATAATTTTAACTTTCACATCTTGCATACCATTATGACCTTGATAAAAAAAATGAGCATACAAATTCCCGCCTGCCATACCCCTTTTACCTCTCCCATATCTATTCATTCTACTTTTGTGGTTGTTAAAACGTTTCCTAAAACTGGTAATTGTACTCCCCACATACTTTTTCCCACATTTTCTACAATAAATCAAATAAATCACCCCAGCCGAATCGCAATCAAAGTTGTAATTAATGTAGTATTTTACTTTTCCCTCGAGAAATTCTTTCCCCTCATCTACATAATTACAAATCTGACAACGACTCTCATTACACTTACTCATCCCTACACTTACCTCCCTAGGCGTTTTAACCTTAGATCTAACCAAACTATCTTTTAAATTTTTTGGTCTCTTATATGAAACAATCGGCCTACTACCGAAGACATCCTTCATTCTCTCCGCTGTCTCCAGAATCGGCCAAAGTGTTTCCACAATTCCATTAATTTCCTTTAATGCCGGATGAAATTCTACTATACCAGTGGTACTCTATTACTCAAGTTAGAATTCTTCCTCTTATCCGTTTGGCGTAACATTTCAGCCCTATCCTTAACTTTAACCTCAGAAAACTGATCGTTAACCAACTTTTTGTTAAATCCTCGCTTTATAAAATGACCTTCCATTTCTTTAAGCCTATCCTGAAAAACTTTTTCCGAACTACAAATCCGTTTTAATCTTAACGCCTGACCATAGGGAATTCCCTTCTTCACATGTGCAGGATGACAAGACTTGAAGTCTAAGTATTGATGTGTATAAGTCGGTTTTGAATACACATCCGTTTGCAATTTACCAGACTCCAATTCCACCCGCACATCCAAATAAGACACCCCCCTTTCCGAATATTCTCATGTATATTTAATTGTTTCATGATAATTGTTAATATAATTTTAAAATTCCAACGGGGATTCTTTACCATGAAGCCAAATAAAAAATATATAATCCAAAAATATGAACCATACTGAAGGACTCAAGTGATACCCCGCCAACATTTTATTTTCCAGTTCTGCCATAAAAATATTTGCAAACGCTGAAGCAAATTTTGTGCCAATGGTTGTCCCTAACTTTTGTTTAAACACTTTTTCGCCAAATTCAAAATAATTGTTATCTAATATAATTTTGGCTAAATCAATCAAATCATCTACAGAAAGACCCTCCCCTTTATCCATACCACAATTTTTTCTGAAATCCTCAATACTTTTTCTCATACTAGACAGACCTTCCAAATGAGGAATATGCGGGTACAGTCCCACAACATCCATTGTGCACAAAATCGCTCCCTCTGGAATTTCACCCAAATCCTGCAGCCTTTTTCAAAAATCCGTGGTATCCCTTATAACATTGGGCAGACTCTTAACAATAGATCCACTAATTCCGACAAACCCTCCGTCGGTGTCCCACAGTTAGATATAACTGGACGACCTGGGACATCAACCAGCCGCGTTTGTGAATTTTTGGAAGCAAATAGAATCTGCCCAATTTATTATTCTTACCCCTTAGATAATTAAAATTCTTTTCGCTAATAACCCCCTTTCCTTTCAAATTCTCTAATTTATTCCGAACTATTTCTGAAATCTTTGCAAGTGGATTTCCTTCTTCCGATACATTTTCGTAAACTAAAACATCAGCCAATTGTCTATTAGCTTCCTTACAATAATCCTCTAATCCCCAAACCACTACCGCAGACCCCTTATCAGCCCCTTTTATTACTATATCCCTATATCCCTTTAAATTCTTAAAAGCTTCTCGCTCTTCCGCACTCAAATTACTAAAATTATGTCCCCTTTCCTTAATAGCCAATACCTTATCTTGCAAGGCATTCAAAAATGTTTCTAATGCTGGGTCCACTTTACTCGGGTACCATGTAGACTTTTCTCTAAACTTACTTAATCCCTCTACATCAATTTCACTCAAGGGTTTATCTTTAAAGTATGCTCTACATTTCATTTTCCTCGAGAATTCAGCTAGATCTTGTGCTAGTTTATGTTTATCAATCTCTTTTGCTGTGGCACAAAAATGATTGATTGATTTAGCCAAAATTATATTAGATAACAATTATTTTGAATACGGTGAAAAAGTGTATAAACAAAAGTTTGGGACAGCCATTGGCACAAAATTTGCTCCAGCGTTTGCAAATATTTTTATGGCAGAACTGGAAAATAAAATGTTGGCGGGTTATCACTTGAGTCCTTCAGTATGGTTCAGATTTTTGGATGATATATTTTTTATTTGGCTTCATGGTAAAGAATCCCTGTTGGAATTTTTAAATTATATTAACAATTATCATGAAACAATATTCGGAAAGGGGGGTGTCTTATTTGGATGTGCGGGTGGAATTGGAGTCTGGTAAATTGCAAACGGATGTGTATTCAAAACCGACTGATACACATCAATACTTAGACTTCAAGTCTTGTCATCCTGCACATGTAAAGAAGGCAATCCCCTATGGTCAGGCGCTAAGATTAAAACGGATTTGTAGTTCGGAAAAAGTTTTTCAGGATAGGCTTAAAGAAATGGAAGGTCATTTTATAAAGCGAGGATTTAACAAAAAGTTGGTTAAGGATCAGTTTTCTGAGGTTAAAGTTAAGGATAGGGCTGAAATGTTACGCCAAACGGATAAGAGGAAGAATTCTAACTTGAGTAATAGAGTACCACTGGTAGTAGAATTTCATCCGGCATTAAAGGAAATTAATGGAATTGTGGAAACACTTTGGCCGATTCTGGAGACATCGGAGAGGATGAGGGATGTCTTCGGTAGTAGGCCGATTGTTTCATGTAAGAGACCAAAAAATTTAGAAGATAGTTTGGTTAGATCTAAGGTTAAAAAGGCTAGGGAGGTAAGTGTAGGGATGAGTAAGTGTAATAAGAGTCGTTGTCAGATTTGTAATTATGTAGATGAGGGGAAAGAATTTCTCGAGGGAAAAGTAAAATACTACATTAATTACAACTTTTTTTCCGATTCGGCTGGGGTGATTTATTTGATTTATTGTAGAAAATGTGGGAAAAAGTATGTGGGGAGTACAATTACCAGTTTTAGGAAACGTTTTAACAACCACAAAAGTAGCATGAATAGATATGGGAGAGGTGAAAGGGGTATGGCAGGCGAGCATTTGTATGCTCATTTTTTTGATCAAGGTCATAATGGTATGCAAGATGTGAAAGTTAAAATTATTGATAAAACTAATGTTGCATGTCCCACACAAAGAGAAGGTTTTTGGGCATATGAACTGAATTCGTTTGAACCGCATGGGTTGAATTTGAAAGACTTTGTTTGAACAATAGAGTTAATCATGCGAATTATTATAATTAGGGTATGGACAGTTTAAATTGTTGAAATCAAGTGTACACATGTAATCTGAAGAAGGGGCTTGCCCCGAAACGTAATAAAAAGTTGTTATACGAGCTCTGATGTATCATTGATTGATTCATATATATATATATATATATATATATATATATATATATATATATATATATATATATATATATATATATATATATATATATATATATATATATATATACATATATATATATATTATATTATATTCAGATTGGTGTAGATTATAGTATATAACTATTAAAGATTGATCCCCATACAGTGGAAAAAGTGTATGCGAACCGCTCACAGTCTGATGAATCCCCCCATGCATACGTGCATTAATTATTATCATGACATGAACTCAATGACAATGCATTTGATGTTATATTTATCTTATGTATAAGGCCTACGTGCAGCTTGGGAAACACTATATACAACTGCTTCAGTCAGCCGAAGGATGGGGTTATTGAATATCGAACAGTAAGTATATATAACTAGTGCTTTAATTACACGCCCCAAACCTCGGTAAAGCAAGAATTTACAGCTAGGTTTTGTTATCTGGTGTGATAACGTTTTTACGCCTGAATTTTGCATAAGGGTTTTGTCTTCTTAAATGTTTCGTTTTATATGAACATTGCCAAAATGATATTAATTTGAATAGCAGTGCCCAGTTCACAAAATCCGAAAGATCACCAAACCAAAGCATACATGTAGATACAAAAATCTTCAAAATTTAGAAGTATAAGAGTACATTCGTGCAAGAAAATAACAATTTTACCCTCTGCCTTTTATAGAAATATTGGAATTGCAAACTTTGGTCATGCACATTCTCATTTTGGTCGCTATCCAGATTGATGATTGAAGACCCTTGCAGTATATATACAGTACTTAAAATCCAGGAGCAAGAATATCTATATATACAGCGTGTCATATAAAACATGCATGCATTGTGCTTTCCCCGTGATTAAGCCTATAATTTTAACTTGTGTATATCTGTAACTGTGTATAAAAACAAGATGAAACAAATGCTTTGTGAAACGTGACTAATAAAATATATGTTTATGTTTTAAATATTTGTGTATATAGCCTATAATTGTGAAAAGCATCCTAATTGTTGGAGACAATCGTGCAGCAACCATGCAGCGTACCAAGGAATTATGCTTAAATTTGCAGGTTGAAAGTGCTATTGTAGCGTGAATTGTGAAAGAATCTCTTCGTGCATGGAGTAGAAATTACACTATTCCATGGTGGGCAAATTTTACTCTACCCGTATTTTTACCCTCTAAAATGGGGTAATTTTTAGGACAAAACAGTTACCCTCGTTTTTGGAGTAAAATTTGCTCCTTAATCTTCGAGTAAAATTTACTCCCTACTGAAAGTTACCCCAAAAAACTGGGGCGTTTTTAGGACAAAATTTTACCCCACTTCTTGGAGTAACTTTTACCCTTTGAATTTTACTGTGCATA